TCTAGGATCTCTTAACTTTCAGTTTATGGGAATTGGGGAATTGGTTTACTTACTACTGAATCTCACTTAAATGCCTTGCAAGTGAAATTGTGCTGCAGCCCAGCCCAGCCTCCCTCTTTCCCCACTGATACCATCTGATTGGTATTGACAAGATTACTCTGGTGCATTAAGTGTTTTTTTTATAGAGATGGCTAAGATGGTTTCTCTCCTTTCCTTTCAGGGGGCTATAAGCTATTTTCTGTGATTGCCTCAGTTTTTGACTTCCATAGAAATTGGTGTTTAAACTTGTATATAGCTGCTACAATATTCTTTTGCTCTGGTCTAACTATTCCTGTGTTTCTCATTTCACAACGAATCCTGTTTCTGTGCACTTCTGAAGAGTGGTTCCTATATCCAGATAATCTTTTTTCCAGAATAGTGTTGTCTGCTTACCTAGTTCTTATTCTTTATCTTGTCAGATATCCTGTTTTGTTTTACTAGTTGATTCACATACATCTGCGGACATACAGGTGCTTGCTATACAAAAGAGTATTTCTGAGGTGTGGAAAGTTGTGCAGCTCTTCTGTGATGTCAATATGTAAGTTAAGTGTTTCTTCTTTGAAACATCCAGAAAGTTAGCTTGTGTCAGGTTTTCCCATATTTCTGAAGTAATAAAGGCCTAAAGACAGACCAAAGATCAGGAAATAAAGATTTCTTGGTTGATAGAGAAAAACTTTTTCAGATAGAGTTTAGGAATATAGGTGGATATGACTCTGGGCAGGTCTTGGATACTTTGAATGGTATAGAATTCCCTCGGTCATATCTCTCCATCTGAGTGGAGTATTGGAGCAGTCTGTGTGTGTTATTTTGTCAGCAGAAACTATTGCTACCAACTAGTTGCAGGTAATGACAGTTTTTAATGCATCTTGTGTGTGGTGCTGATTTCCCCCCTCCACTCACATACGTATTTGTCTCTCTTGAATTTTTTTTTGAGTTGGTATTTGTTTCAGTTCAGCTTTTCTGTAATACCTGAAAAGCAGGTGTTACTGCAGAAGTGCTGAATTGTTTTTTAAAAAAAATGCCATACATTGCTGTGGAACTGTGATTGAAAGAAATAACTTTGATTTTCTCTGTTAATGTTCCAAGCACCGCAGTGGTAGAATCACTGCTACTTTTGTATATGCCTATTAACCAAATGAAAAGAAGGGTTCAATGGAGTGATTATTTTTCAATTTAGGCTTTTAAAACTATTGTCTGATGTGCTTTGCAGCCTAGTTACTGAGGGGAATATCCAGGATTTAGTTATTTTTAATTCTATTTTGACTGGGACAGAGGAGTTTTATCCCTGGCCTGAAAT